CAATATGCTCAAAATAATTAATTCACATAAAAATTATTATTCATGCATCGTAAAATTAATAAAATATTTTTTAAGCATAAAATGACTATTTCAGCTATTTTAAATATTCTCTTAAGTTTTTAAAGATTATTTATACCTTCAAAAAATTTCTCACATATGTTTAATATTAAATTTTTATTTAATTTTAGTTTTATCGAGTACTGCTTATTGCATCAAATACCCACAATAATTAAGAATATAAAAATAAATCAATCACAAGAGCATAACTGCAAAAACTCTCAATTTATGTAAGAAAAATAAACCTTCTTTATGTGAGCGGAAACAAGTCATGGAACTAATGTAGCTACCTAACATATGAGACTTTCAAAGTGACTAAGAAACAAATTAAGGATTTACGAGTCATCATCTAATATTAAAAAGAAAAAAAAATAAAAAACCTAAGAAGGCACTAGATTCAAAGATTTTGAGTAAGGAGTTGGTTACACCAATTGATAAGATAATAATCACTTAGAAGTACCATTTTCGGAACAAAAGATATCGAGTTTAGTTTAATTCTAATATCATCTTTTAAAAATAATCTTTTTCCAAATTTTCCTAAATTTATTTTCAATCTTATTTTGGGTTGCCTAAGTCTAAAAAGATTTTTATTTTATTTTTTATCTTAGAATCGTATTAAAATAATGTTGGATCCTAAAACGAAAGTTTTGTTAATTTAACCTCAAATCCAATTCGGTCCTAAGCACGATTGACTTGTCAAGAATGACCTTATAAGTTAAAGTTATTAACTCTAGAAGTAGAAGAAAACTAGCCTATACAACCCTAACTAATTTATTCTCTCTCTCTCTCTCTCTCTCTCTCTCTCTCTCTCTCTCTCTCTCTCTCTCTCTTTTTTGTCAAATGTCAAGTTCTATGTCGATCCTTAAAGAATAGAAGACCAGTTGACTCAACTTAATTGTATTAGGTTAAACTAAAAAGGAAATTACCCTTTTTTTTTCTTTGTAATTATAGCTTAAGCTTTTTATGAGATCATCGTCGATCCTTATACTCTCGGAGACTTGATGACCTCACGTTGATCGAATTCTTAAAATTTGAAAGTTTAATAGTAATACAAAATCAAACATACATACAACCTCTAACAAATATTAGCTAAAATATTAGCTACCGCCTTGTCAAATAAAGAAAAACCCATTGGATTAAAGATTTTGTCAATTTTAATAAAATATTTCAAAACTAAGGACATGATTGCAAACAACTTCGATTCATATAAAAACTAAACTAAAATAACCCAACAATCATGAGGACTAAATTTGAAACATAGTAATTATCCCCTACTATGTGAAAAGATCGAATCATTCCTTTATCTTTCACTTCCATCCATATTTTCTCCTCGCTACTCTTCTTTGTTATTCTAACTTTTTCCTTTTTTTTTTTGTTCTTTCTTTTCTTATTTCTCCATTGTTGTTTCTAACAATAGCCTAACATATCCATTTCTTTTAGTTTTTGTTTTGTCTAAAAGCATAAAGACCCATTTATCATTATTGTTCCTTTAGGTACTGCCATGATTAATAGTGTTTCTAACACATTAACGAAAGCACGGTATAAAGATTCTCACTAGGGCTAAAAATCTAAGTCAATTAGCCCAAAGGGATTGTTTTTCTTGATTGAACAAAATTTGCTTTCAATAGGATAATGTTATCCTTAACATTATCTTGTAATATTATCCTTAATATTATCTTGTTTTATGATAATTATACTTTTCTAGGTTTGATTGTAACATTGAGTCTAGTAGAATTAGAGTTCTTTAATTTAGATAAGAATAGAATTAAAAAGTCATAATGATAATGAGACTAGAGTTTTGTAGTCTATGAGAGACAAGTTTCTTTGGTCTTATCTTTATCTTGTGTAATTCTTATGCTACAAGGATAAATTATCCTTGTATGGCCGACCCTAGACTAGTATAAATAGGGGCTTAGTGCTTGTAGAGAGATAACTCTTTCACGCTTTGAGAATTAGTAAATTAGTTGAAAAGTTTCTCTTCAAACACTTGAATCCTTGTGCATTGTTTGAGATTTATTCTTTATATCCTTGACTTTATTAATCAAAGTGAATTATTTGATCAACTAAAACTGAACCTAAAGGGAATAGTGGAGTTATTAACCTTGCCAAAATCATTTTAAGTTAAATACTTTGTAAGATTGTAGTGGGGTTTGTCAAGAACTTTGCCAAAATCAATCAACTAAGACCACTTTGCATCAATTACAAAATTTTAGCCTCAATCACTAAGGTTGGAAGTTCCACATCATCCACTATTTTTAATAAAACTCATAGGTCTTTTAGTCTAACAAGAGACTTAGATTCGATACTAGCATTAATAAAGGATTAGGAGTTTTGGGTTGGTCTAATTCTTTATAAAAAAAGATGTCAACTTAGTATCGGAGCTAAGATTTCTTTCTAACATGTTTTTTTGACCAATTTTGTGAAGATGCTACTAATAAAATAGCACTAGGGCATGTTACTATGGCCGAATTTGAAGAGGAGAATGCATGTTTGCTTAAGAGGGTGTAAGAGCTTGAAAGAAAGAGAGTTGTGGTTGGAAAAGAGAAGGAAAACAAAGAAAAGGATGTTGCAAGTGAATTTTGTTTTTGGGCTTTGAGAACTATTTCATCTACAAAGGATGAACATTTTGTTCAATAGTTAAAGTGAGTCATTAGGAGGCCACATCCTTAAATTCAAGACTCTAAAGTCAAGGTTAACATACCTAACTTTGAGGAAAGACTCAATCTCGATGATTTCATTGGTTAGATGCATATTGTTAAGAGAGTCATTAAGTTCAAAAAGGTTCTCTAGCATAGGAAGGTTAAGCTTGTTACTATCAAGCTTACAAACAATGCTTCTATATGGAGAGAGAACTTGAACGAGATAACGACTTAGAGAGGACAAGTAAAAAATTACTACTTGGGAGAAGATGAAGAAGGCTTTCAATCACAAGTGCTTTTATAAACAAGAAATATATCTTAAATTTCTTAATTTTAAGTAAAAAAAGTTGAAGCATATACCACTCGAATTTGAATGACTTATGCTTAAGTGTAAAAATTTTGAACTAGAAGAATAAAACATTGCTCGATTTTGAAGAGGCCTATGAACCAATATTGTTAATATGGTTCAATAATAGCAATATCATACTTTGAATGATATTATCAAGTCAGTCTCTAAAGGTTGAGAGACAAGCTTTGCTTGATGGGGTAAAGCTTTTGAATAAATTTGTCAATTATGAAATCTATGAAGATGATGGTGAACTATAAGTAGTTCGTAAAGCTCTTAATGCTAAGATAGTAAAAAAAGAATAATGACTTAGACATAATATTTTCATACCCATTGCACATTGCAATGGAATGTTTATGAACTTATCATTGATGAAGGTAGTTGTGAGAATATGATATACACTAAGATGATGAACAAACTCAATTTACTAAGTGTTGACCATTCAATTCTTTACAAGTTTAAATGGTTAAGGAAGGGAAACAACATTAAGGTGACTAAAAATTACCTAATCTAATTCTCTATTGGTAATCGGTATTAAGATGAGGTATGGCGTGACGTGGTTCTTATGGATACATGCCATATCTTGTTAAGGAATCCATGATAATTTGGTAGATAGGTAACTCATGATGCAACACCAACTTTCAATTACAAAAGTTACTTTTGTCTCTAGGTTGGCGATAAAAAACCCTAAACGGACCAAAGGACACAATGGTAATAGTGTTCTAGCCATCGGTTATAATGGGATTAGCAGATTCACCATGTAAGAATCCATCTTCTTCACTAATCTCATATATTAGGAATCAAAGTAAAATGGTGGATCATAGGAGACTTCCAAGTAAAGATGCTCGATACTACATATAAACCTAGTTCGTCATTTGATATTGTAGCGGCTATACGTGGAAACAAAAGCCATGATCCAGATGCCACCTATTTCCTATGCCAATATCCTAAATCAAACAACTAATCCTATAACCAAACGTAAATCTCATAAACCACACCCTCTTAGGGATATAGCTCTTGCTCCATGACAACTCATAATCATCAACACAAAACCAGCATGTATATTCTCCTATGCACAAATTGAAATAAGCAGACGAAACAATTCTAGAATACACTAATTTTGAAATTTTCTTGAGGAAGACCTTATATCAATGATATTCAAACACATATCCAAAGAAAATGGAATCTAATGAGGGAACCAATCGTAGGTCCTCCGTATCTATGCCATGTTATGGTTTATCTCGGAATAGCTATTGATATGATCCGGTGTTATCACGTGAGAACTATAAGATCCAAAACTATACATTTCAAGTGTTATGGTAGAATCCTAACTTTTAATTTTGAAGAGATAGTCCCTTGGTTTTTATTTAGGTTCATCTTCATCATCTTTTATTATTGTTCTTCACTCCTTCATATTTCAAAAATATAGGTGAAGGAATTGGATAATTCCATCGTGTAGATTATAGAACATTGGAATTAATACATCCGATGTTTGCAAGAATGTGTTTAGAGGTTGATGTTTTTAAGCTGCTACCAAATAGAATCTGGATGGGTAAACTAAAGGATCATGGATTATAGCAAGGATAGAATATGAAGGAAACATACACTACACCAAAAATAAGTTATAAGGGCGAAGTCTCCGAGGCGGTCAAAAAAACCACCTTAGACTTTAATTGTCTTGATATCACATACACTTTTTATAAAATAGATATGAGGTGGTTGCTAAAACTACCCCTAAAAAAAACCACAATTATCTCATTTTCCTTCTTGTTTTATATTTAGGCCTTCTCTTTTTCTTTTTATTCAATTGAATTATTTTAAAAGAGTAGATCGAGTAGTCGAAATCGATCATGCAGTAAAAATTAAAATTAGGGTTTCTTTGTTTTAGCAACTTTAGATAAATCACACCTCTTCTCTTCTTTCGCTAGAGCCACCTAATCAATGTATCTCGGCTTTAGATAAATCGCACCTCTTCTCTTCTTTCGCTAGAGCCACCAAATCAATGTATCTCTAGCTTCGACAAGGCAAAAGGTGCAGCCACCATGGTAATTCTTCTATTCTCTCTCCCTTGCTTCCTTTTTTGCTTTGATTTAGCAACTTTATATAAATCGTAACTCGTCCTTGTCTTCTCGCTAGAGCCACCAAATAAACGTATCTCCAACTTTGATAAGGCGAAGGTGCGGCCACCATGGTACTTCTCCGATTCTCTCTTCCTTTCTTTCTTTGTTGCTTGCATCGAATCTCCACATCTCTAAATCACACTCTATCTCTTACTCTTTGCTTTTTTAGGTGAAGTACTCTAAAGAGCTCGGTAATTCCACCAAGTGTAAGTGTGCCAATATTTTTCAATTTGGGTTTTTTGTGCTTGCTTATGACTGGTGGACATCTTATTCCATACGACTTGCAACCCAAAGGGATCCGACCTCGCAGTTCATTTAAGGTATTTTGTTTAAGATTTTTTATGGGTTTCATTTTTTTTATGTCGTTACTTGTTAATTTTTTTTTTTTTTTTGGGTTTGATTTATTAGTAAAACTTGATGGAAAAAAATAGAGATTTCTTGCTTATTGGCTTCGGTGGTGTAATTGCATTTGTAGATTGGATGGATGGATATCTTATTTTGTTAAAATAGTGGAGATTAGAAAAATATGGTAGGAAGAAACTCCTTTGTTTTTATTGGTCTTAGTAGTTTGATTTTTGCAATGCTAATTGAGTTTCCACTTCAAACAACCAAAATAATTAATTGAATTTCTCTCATCTTAGCTCTACCGGCATTCATTTCACCAATTCACTAATATTTTCAATATAATCCTGTCTTTCTATTGCGGTAAGCTGCAACCATACTTTAAATGATATGGACTGATCCATTGCGGTATAAAGGCATTCTCTTTGAATTCATCAAACAAAAGCGTGCAAAGCTAGAATGAAAGGTAGATGGTGATATTATAATAGACTCGCACATAAAGTATACATTTATATATGTGCTAGCACAAGAAAAATTCTAATTATGCAAAGTGCAGGGTATAGAGAGAGCTGAAACTAAGGTACACCTTATAATTCATATACGGATAGGATATTCATCACTTACTCAATCTGGAATCATAAATGACTTGGCTCTTTCCGTAGCAGAGGTAAGCAATTTGTAAGTTTCAATGACATCTTTTAATATGTTCAATAATAAGTACATCATTTTCTCCTTTTGCATAAAATGCCTTGTATTGTTTCTTTTCTGTTTGTCATTAATAGCATGGATCTCTCATATGTATTCTTATTCTAACACATAAATTGATATTAGTCTATCTATGAAATAAAAATAATCTTAGAGTATCGTGGCTAGTTGCATTGCTAAGATTTTTTTCTTTTTGGTGAATTATATTAAGCTAGTTAGTAGCATCCAACACAGTCATGAGAAGTATGCATGCCATCCTTAGAGGAGGAAAGACTAATCTCCCCCTTCGGTATTTTGTTTTTTTCGTGTTAGAGGGAGTAGTATAAAAGTATACAAATGTGAAGTAAGATTAATTTCTCTAAGATGTACGAGTTTGGTTCTCTTTTGTAGTTGCTGAGATATTGTCGTGGAAGGACAAAATATTATTAGGAGGAATCCTAGCTAGGGGTTATTACTCGTAATCTGCTTCGTTTTGACTTACGAGGTACCCTTTTATTACTTTTTTTTGTCACATTCTCATCCTTTGGATGATCCTCCTCCTCACATGGTCTAAGAATGCGGGACTCATCAAAAGGTAACAACTCATTAGCATATTCTAAAATCTATTATTGCCTGTTTAAGATCTTTAAATTTTTTAGATCATTCTATTTTCCCAATAAATGGAATCTTTGCTACAAATACGGGGAATAATATTGGGTTATCACTTTTTTTTCCTCCCTCCCTTTATATTTCGTTCCTAGCAAGGTTGTACTTTAATTTAAAATTTTTATATGTACTGATTTGTTCATCAATTCAGGAATCCTCCTACTTTTAACGACATACGGTTGCTAGAACCGGTATTGATGTTCTTCTCCGATTAAATCAACCGGACATTACTTGCATTTTGTAATACTTCCATGGGCTAGAGAGGTTTAAAAACCTTTTTTGTGGTATGCAAGTCTCTTATCTCTTGACCATTTTCATTTTCTACATTTATCTATTTTAGTTATAGATTTAATTCCTAATTGTGGTATACAAACTGCTTTTCTCCGACCAAGTCTCTTCTAGATTTAATATCCATTTTTATTTTTATTCATATATATATATATATATATATCTACTAAAATGAATTGACTTTATTTGGAGGCTTTGGACTTTGTCATGTTCCTTTTAGGACTTGATCAAACTCCCCTCATTTTTTAGGTTACTAATCCTACTTCTAACTTTTAAGTTTTACTATAGAGTTAGACAGTTCATAATAAGTTTAAATTGCATAGACCCCACAATAAGTTGTGTGCAAGGCCTAGAGCTCCCCATATTTTCAATGTTGTTAAGTCTTTCTTTTGACTTTATCTATGAAACAAGTTTAAATTGCATATACCTAAAGTAAAAGCTAAAAGAAAGGACACATTTATGATTCATATGCAAATTATTGCATCAAATCATTTGTTTCATCTGCTTAAGTTTTCACCCACATTACGCCGCCAGGAAACAATTGTGACTTGTCGTCGTTGGAGTGCATATTTAAGTGGTAATTTCTAAGCTTGTAGTTTTCCCGGTGAAGTATTTTCTTGACTTTTTTTTTTAACTTGAATTAAGTAGGTGGTTGAGATAACAAAAGGAAGTAAGGTCAAATATGAACTGGACAAGAAGACATGACTAATCAAGGTATGAATAATTCGAATCCATTGAAATTGAAAAAAATTAGTCCTAGATTCGGACTCTGTAGGAAGTGCTTTACATGGAATTTGCTTTTTCTTTTCTTTTTTTTAAAAAAAACTTCATTCCATCTCGCCATAGCCCTTTGTTTAATTTTTTTTTCTATTCAAATTAATGCTTAGGTTGATCGGATTTTATATTATTTTTTTTTCACTTTCAAATTGTGCTTTTGATAGGTTCGCAATGATTGTGATGGTCAAAATGCTCCTCCTCCTAATCGTTCACGATAATCAAGTCATCCGTCGAAATGAAACATTTCTATAAAAGCATGAGAGTTTTTTTAAAAACAACATTAGCCACTTATTTTAAAATATATTTGGAATTTGGTTTATGTATTTAGAAAAAGTGTTTAATCCTTTAGTTTGATGACTTTTTTTTGTATTTAGAATTTGATAATGAAAAATTTAAGAATATTGTGTAAGTTGTATAATTTTTTTTTATTTGCATTCAATAAGATTAACTTTTTTTTTAATTTATTTTTTTTACCAAAAAAAAAACAAAATAATTGAATTTGAAGATGAAATAAAACTATAATATTAAAAGCGAGTTAAAGAACCGTCTTTATGAATTCTAAAATCTGCTTATATGACTTTTGAAAAATGACGCGGTTACAACTTGCCTTTATAAATTCTAAAGCTTAGGGCGTTTAAAAATTTTAAACCTTACGAGTGGTTGTAACCGTTTCAAATATTTTGTGTAAAATTTTAAAAACAAATGTAGGAATGTAGAGGCGGTTTAGAATCGCCTAAAAAATTATGTGCCAACAAATATAAAAGATTAAATTCGCATTATAGAGGCGAGTTCTTGGAACCGTCTAAAAAAATAAAAACTTTGAGACGGTTCAACCAATCGCCTCGGAATTCCCGACGGTTGGTCAAACCTCCTATATATCGTAGAGACGGCAGCATTGCAAGTGGTTTTGAAGTGGTTCAAAAAATTGCCCTTACAATCTATAAAGGCGGTTATAACCACCTCTAGAAGAAAAAAAAACCACCCCCAATACTTTTTTTAGTTGTAGTGATAGCATACTACACAAGTTATGGTTTGATTGGCTACACGAGTGATATTTACAAGAAGAAAATAAGAGGTTCTATACATGGTCTTTTGAATCAAGTTGAACTAGTGAATGTGAGTGAAAAGATTCAAGTTGGACAACTTGATTAGGAGAAAGATGTATGGGTTATAGTGAAGAAGAAGAATGGCAATCTTTATAATATTGCAAATATATACAACGATATTAATACGAGGATTGAAAAAGTAATGCTTTTTGTGAGATTGGGGAGGGTAGTAATCAACCACATGAGAACTCAAAAAATTTAGCTATGGGGTTATGCCAAAGCATATAAATTATAGACGAGATATGATATAATACTACTGGAAAAGGAAAACCAATAGTGGAAGACTAGGCTTAACTCGATCAAGGTGGGATAGAGATAAGCCATTGTTTGAAAAACATGAGGAGACGGAGTTTGAAACGAGAAAGCATTCGAAGGTTCAATTTCTTACCGTATGAAAAGGTTCAATTTCTAATGAGGAGACGAGTTTGAAACAAAAAGCATTCGAAGGCGATCCATGGAGAATCTATATTTGAAGAATGGGAATATGAATAATGTAAAGAAGATCCCTCAAAATTTTCGAAACTAGGAAAAAAGAAAAAGAAAAAAAAAGCTATAGCAACATGAATTCATAAGGAAGGCTTAATCGGCTCCCAAAACACTAGGCACTTTTCTCCCTATCGATATATCATGATTGGTATTATGTGGAATGCAAGAGATATGGTAATTCATATTCCTTAATTATATAAGTGTTCTAAAAAAAAAACATAAGCGTTTGTTTTTTGTTATTATCGACCCAAAGCTTGATGGAGATAGGATAGATGGTATTGTTAGAGTTCCGAAATATAAATTTAGCATGCATCAAAATTAGAATAATAATCATATTTAGATGTTTTAGAATGAGGATATAATAGAGACTTATGAAGTATTGCACATGTAAGTTATTATAGTAGCCATTGCGGGAAGTCATATTTTGAATCTTAAGGATTTTATTGTTTATCCAATTTATAATGGGGGGAGGGTCGGGATTTATAGACTAAACGAGACTGATTGTCTTCTACTAGCTAGGTTCCATGGATTATGGGAGGGCATTTTAATTTTATTTCCATTACTAATAAAAAAAAGGAGCTACAGGTTTTGATTTTCATGGGATGATAGATGTTAATGATTGTTGTACTAGAATTGGTATGGTAGACATGGGTTATTAGGGTGGTAAGTATATTTATTTTAATAATCAAGTAGGGCATTTAAGAATTCAAGAGAGACCAGATAGATTCTTAACCAATGGGTCTTATTTACCATCATGCTCGAATCTGGTTGTGGAGCACTAACACGAACATGCTCGGATCACCGTCCTTTGTTAATTCAATACCAACAAGCTAGAATTGGGCACTCTATATTTCTATTTCAACAAATATGGCTTGAACATCATAATTTTTAGGACTAAGTGAGGAGCAACTAGGGCACATGGGTTAAAGGTACTCTTATAGAAGTAAACCGAAGGTGTGGAATTGAGAGGTTTTTGGGAACAATAGATAGAAAATAGAGGTTTTACAAGATGGGATTAAGTAGTTAGATTCTGTTTTGATTCAAGGTTGGAATGATATCATGACTAATCATTTTAAGGAGAAAATAACATATTTATATTAGTTGGTAAAATGGGAAGTCTGGCAGTTACAATAGCACGCAAGGGTCAAGTGGGTAATGGTTGGGGATAAAAATATAATTTATTTTCATGTTTGTATTAAAGAAAATTCTAAAACGATTATTCTTAGATTGCATCGAGTTGAAATTTTTATTGAGGATATCTCTTTCATTAGTGATATAGTAACTAAGTATTTTCAAATTTTTTTCTCGATCGGTCCTATAACTCGGGCACGAAGAGTTATTTTTAGGAATACAAAACCGATTTCAAATCCTAATAATGAGCTTTTAATATCAATACCTTCAATGAAGGAAGTTTAGGGTGCAATTATCGGTTTGAATCCTTTTAGGACACCAAGATGAGGTGATTTTATGAGGCCTTTTTATCAAGAATGTTGGGAGGTTATACAAAGAGATGTAGTTGCAGCGGTACATGATTTTTTTTCAAAAAAGGTCATCTTTGAAAGATATGTCTACCACTACCCTTATTATTAGTCCAAAGGTCGTTAATCCCACTAGTCTAAGTGATTTGCAACCAATTAGCTTATCAACCTTTGGCTATAAA